TTAAGGGAAAAAGGTAATATATCTTTTGAGTTCAGTCATTTAAACCTTAGCTCACCAAAACCCACTGTTCCATCAACTAATATTGTAACTTATAGAAAGAAATGAGCCACAGGCTGATCTCTGAAAGGTAACTGACACACCATCCTAACATTCGCCAACTGTGCTACAAGGAAGACGGAACATAATATATTAGTCAAAGCAGAAATAACGCTATTTCCACCTAACTTCATCGTTCCAAGCTTGCTCCACAGCATCAGTCTTTGGGCAGTTACTGCCAAGCACGAACTGACTAAAGCAAGTTACAAAGGAAAAGAGAAAAAACACAAGAGCATCTAACTTTACAGTTCTGAACTTTGGCACTGAGAATCCAGGAAATGGCGATGGCCACTTGTCCTAGACTGTAGGAACACACATTATTTTGCATACACTTTCATGAGAACTTTGATCCTTGGAAGCCCATTCAAGGGTCCTAAGATGAAAAGATGCCCTAGATAAAGGACAAATTGCAGAGTCAGTTCTAACATCAGGAGTTGAAAGGATCAAAAGAAGTCACTGTGCAACAAGTGATTTTATGCTACCTAATTTATTTTCACCCTCTACAATAACCTTGGGAAATAGGCATTATCATCTCTTTGCCAAATAGGAAAAGTTATTTTCAGAGATGAAACAACTCTTTTCATACCCTATGTTTGCTATTTGCCAACTATCTGGCTCATAATCACAAACTAAAGAATTAAGGAATCAGGTTTAGATCCTAAAGATCTTCCATAATGGAGAGATTCTCACTCTTAAGTGTTTCATTAATACGGTCAATTTATCTACATATTTTTCCTCAATTTAACTTCATTGATAAAAGGAATTATATAGATTGAATTCCACAACATCATTTACTGGTAGGAGATAATCTTAAGACAATGGCAAAAGTCTATTCCATGTTTTGTTTTGTTTTTTCTTGTTTTGAAGGGTTGTGTTGGGTGTGTTTGGATATATACATGTATGTGAGGGAAAAGTTAACTTCAGATGTCAGTCCTCTGGAGTCATCCAACTTGGTTTTTCATTTGTTTGTTTTTGGTTTTTCAAGACAGGGTTTCTCTGGGTAGCCCTGGCTGTTTTAGAACTCACTCTGTAGATCAGGCTGGCCTGAAACTCAAGAGACCCACCTGCCTCTGCCTCCCAAGTGCTGGGATTAAAGGCCTGTGCCACTACCATCTGGCTCACCTTGTCTTTTTGAAACATACTTTCTCACTAACCTGGAGCGCACCCAGTGGACCAGACTGGCTGGACAGGAAGCCCCAGGGATACACCTCTCCCTCCCTCCTCCATCCAGCAGTGGGATTAAAAGCATGCACCAACAGGCAAGCTTTTGGTGGGGAGTGGTGGGTAATACAAATTCCAAGAATCAAACTCAGGTCCTCTCAGCCTTCCACAGTGAGCACTTTACCAACACAATTATTTCCCTGGCCTTTTTTTGAAAGTCAAGGGAGCCTCAATCTTTCATTAAGTTTGGACTTTTCAATCACAAATGAAGAACTGCCAGAATTAAAACTTCAGTCTTTACTCAAAATATGCAAGCTTAAGTTCCAGCCAATCTGACAGCTGAAGCATCTTTCAAATTGAGAGAGCAGCTTTTAAAAGGTGTAAACTGAGTACACTAGTACACACCTTTAATCCCAACACTCTGGAACTCTGGAGACAGAGGCTGGGAGATGTAAGTTTCAGGCCAGCTGGAGATCTACATAGTGAGTTACAGAACAGCCAGAGTTTCATGGGGGACCCTGCCAAAAAACAAACAACAAAAACCACCCAAACCAACCTCTAAAAAACTGATAATACAAACAGGTTCATGACCCCCTTTGGCCTTCTATAGGTAGATATGAGATCTTAGAGCTTTAGGACTATATTTCCATTACAAGATGTGAAATAGAACAAAAATGGGTTCAACCACTAAATTCTGTTGCATCTCAGAGATCAAGGCAGTCAGAGAAAACGTCCGTCATGTTCAAGGGAATATTACCTCCAATCACATCCTATGTTAGAGACTTGTCAGGCATTTAAGGGAAATACATCCACACCAGGAATGAAAAGCAGAACAAGAGTGATAGGTCCTTAGAGCTCTACTCCACTGCTTCCTACCAGAGTTGCCACCTAGTGATTTTAATTTTTCAAGCCCAGGCACACTGCCAAGTCGACACTAGAACCGGACTAACAACTGATTTTCCTATTGCAACATCACCAACTCGTCCTGTGCTTTCCCTCTCCCCCACCTCAAACAGCAGTCCTCACTGAAAACCAGCCACTTCGTTCCACAACCCCTTCCACCTGGAGGCACTCCTCGGCCTCCCACCAGTGCTACTCTTCTTGGCAACACCGACAGACCATGTGGCCAGCTGAAAAAGCCAAAGCAGGGAAAAGGAGAAAAGGGAAGAGCTCAAACCTGCAGCAACTGTGAGCCAGTTCTGCATTTAGAAATCCAGCTGCCAAAGTTCTACTTCTTGGGCACTGAACAAAAACTCTGCCAAAATAAACGGCTACAGGTGAGAAATCAAATTGCACGGGCATATGTTAACTCAGTACTCTATATCCCAAACTTGACTCAAGGCCATGACCTTTCTCACCATCCAGTGCCCAGGTAAGCATTAGGATTCACAGAAAAAGGGTACTCTCAAGGTCGGATTTAATCCAGCTACCTAACCTGACTTTCACTGGCAGGACACCTTTACCCACCTAAAGTAGCCTTCTACCAAACAGCTTAAGATAGTAGAAAATTGCAGATTTCTGTCCCCTTACCTAGCAGAGCCAGTAATCACACAATTCCTACAGATTGCATTCTTGGTTGTGACGATCTTTTGGCAGCATCCTAAACTTTCGCTTTAAATTCCACACAAACAAGAAAACAGGGAGATTTTAAAATACTTTTATTTTTCAAGTTCAAATGCCCAGGCGTGGTGGCCCATGCCTTTAGTCCCAGCACCTGGGAGGCAGAGGCAGGCGGATCTCTGAGTTCCAGGCCAGCCTGGTCTAAAAAGCATGTTCCAGGATAGCCAAGGCCACACAGAGAAACCCTATCTCAAAAAAACCAAAATAAAATAATAATAATAATGTTCAAAATTCCTCTCTTTGCCTTAAGAAACCCAGGGCTGGTCAAGTTTTCTTCTCAAATATGTGTGGAACTACTTTTCAAGGCTGAGAACTCTTTCCTCCCGGAGTGTTTTCCGTAACAAGGTCTGAACTGAAGGGATCTAGGTTAAACTTGCAGGTTTCCTATGTTCATCACTTTGAAATGCTGTTCTGGCTGCACCCAGGTTTCCGGGGGGGGGGGGGATCCAGTTCGCTCCCCATTACAGAGTGCCCCTAGAAACCAGACTTTCCCAAATGCTGTCCACCCCCTTCCCTCCTCTTCAGCAGCATCCTCAATGTGGCAAACAGGAAAGGTGGGCTGAAGCAGCAAGAAAAGTTCCCCAGGGTTAGGTACAAACTTCACCAGGGGGACTGGACTCACCTTCCCGACAGAGCCCCATGACTTCGCGGTTTTTCCCAAACTCCTTGAAACTTTCATCCAATTCGGTCCCTAGGAGATATACACACACAGGAGGAGGGGAGAGGCAGGTCAGTGGCCAGGAGTGTGACGCACGCTCACGCACGCACAGGGTAGGTGTGGGCACCTCAGCGTTCCACACCCAGCGAAAGATAGCATCTCTGACCCCCGAGGGGGGCGGGTCACAGGACACGGCGCGGGGGAGGGGAGCAGGGCCGGAGAGGGGGAGGCGGGGGGCGTGGGGAACGGGGAGGCGTGGACACTCACCATCCTTCCCAGGAAGTTTGGAAGCTTCCACCCACAGATTCCACGACTGTCCCAGCATTGCTTCGGGACTGGGCAGGGGCCTGCGCTCCCCGACCGTCGCCATGGCGGCGGCCGAGGTGCTGGCGGCCCCGGAGCCGCCGTCCTCCGGCCGTGGGCGCCGCGGCGGCGGGTGCTGCCGCTGGGGCTGCAGAGGCTGTGGCTGCTGCTGCTGCCGGGCGGCCGCTGCTCCGCCCGCCGCGCGGCGCGGCTCCCCCCTGACGTCATCCGCGGCCCGCTCCGACATTCTTTCCGCTCCTACAATGTAACAAAAAGGGGGAAAAGAGTGGCGCGGGGGCCGCTTTTAAGGAGGCGCCGCGGAGTTCCGGCGGCGTGCGCGGCCCGCAGGCCGGTGCTGCTGACAGCCCCCGGGCCCCCCGCCGCTGCCCCCGCCCGGGCGCAAAGTCCGCGGCGCAGCTGGCTTTCGCTTTCGCCTCCCGCGGCCCTCGTCAGGCGCCGGCTGCGGCCGCCACTGCGGCGCTGGCTGCCCGGCCCGGCCCGCCTCGGGAGGCCGGCGCCCCGACCCACCCTGCCACAGCCTCAGGCCCGCCCGCGCCCCGGCCCGCCTTTGCCCACCCTGCGGCCGCTCGCATCCCGGCCCGGCCGGCAACCCCGCTCCTTCCTTCCGTCCGCGCGTCCGTCCGAGCGGCGGCGCCCGGCCGGCTCCCTTAAGCGGAGGCACCTCCTGTCGCCTCCTCCCCCTCGCCGGTCCCTCCCTCTCTGCTCGCTCCGGCGAAGTTTGCACGTCAAGCCCCCGGAGTGGAGCCAGGGCGAAGTCGGAAACGCAGCCACCTATGGAAGAGCCGGCCGATCGGCCCCGGCGCAGCGACTAATGCGTCGCCGAGGCCCTCCCTCCGGAGCCTCGGGCACCGGCACTTCGCTCTGAGCTCGCCGGCAGCTGCACAGTAGCTGGAGCATGAATGAGAAGCCGCCACTGTGCGGACGCCCAGCAACTAAGGAGCCACCGGCAGGTGTGAAAATGCCACCCAGGTGTCTGCCTCAAGCCCCTACTGCAAGGGAAGCAGCCCACGTGTACCTCAGTGCCCACAACTGAAGGTCACACTCTGTGTCCTGGGAACTTAAATTTCTTCTCCAGCAAGAAGGGGCCCACGAAATCGGTGTATCACTTTAACTTGAGTTGTTAGTCTCACTATTTATGGTTGTATTTCCTAGGATGAGATGAGAACCCATGGTTTAGGGAATATACAAAAGACAACTGTGTTTGGTCAGATTTTAATCACTAAGTTAGGCACTAGCACATAAATTTAACACCCTCCCCTCAATATACACATACACAACTTTTGTGTAAGTGATGGGCTGAGGATCATTAAACAACCAAAGCATTCTTAGCAGCGGACCACAAGGAGCCTATAGTAAATGTTGCTATTATTGCTGTGATCATCATGTTTCACATCTCAGTAAAGGAGCACTCTTCTAACCTGTTCAAAGCCTCTTGCTTACAGGTGTTTTCAAAGACTAGGTGAGGAGGTGAGCTTTCCTGTATTTGCTGTTACTACTACTTGTTTTTCTTTAATCACAAATATCTAGTAAGAGAGGTGTCCAACTTCTCTGTTGAAGAAGTGTCTAACTTACAAAAACCTTTAAAATGTTTAAAGGAAAGCAAAAGTGAGTACAGGACAGGCTTGGTGACGCACGCCTTTAATCCCAGCCCTCGGGAGGCAAAGGCTGGGGAATCTCTGAGTTTGAGACCAGCCTGGTCTATAGAGTGAGTTCCAGGAGAGCCAGGACTACACAGGGAGACCCTGTCTTGGAAAAACAAAACAAACAAAAAACAATAAAAAAGTGAGTGCGGAAATGTTTTCATAATACATTAAAATCAAGACTCAGTGAAAAGGTTTTGATTCAGATGCAAATTGAAAAGCTTGAAGTGTGTGTGTTGTGGTATGTGCCCAGAGTCCCCAGTTTCTTGGGAGGCAGAGTAACTGAGAAACACAGTAAGAACTTGTCTTAAGTAAATAAAGCATAAACCCAAGTTCTGGTTAGACACGTTTAGAAGTTAATATGTAGTACTTTTTACCTGGATTGAGCACATAAACCCCAAAAGGAATCTGATGAGTGCTCATCAAAGACGGTTGCTCCTTGAACCCTCAGGCTCTGCACCTACAGACTCAACTAGCTGCAGGTTGAAAAGACAGCTTTGATAGTTTTTAAATTGTATCCATACTGAACACATACAGCTTTTTAAACATTTCCTTAAATACAATGTTACAACTGTTTACATAGAATCTACAATTTAGTGAGTATTCTAAGTAATCCAGAGATGATCTGATCTATGTGGAAGGATGTGTGTTGTTTAGGTGCCTTTTTATAGAAGGGACTTGAGCGCTTGTCAATTTGGGTATCTGTGGTGATCCTGGAACCTAATGCCAAGGCATAGTTGTAACCAAAACTGATTGAGATGACTGGAAGATTTTTAAATTAAAAAAATTATGTTTTAACCTCCTATATAAAAGTATCCATTAGTGAAGAACAAGGTTAAAAACACATGTTATGTTACTAATTCAACATAGCTTGTGTGTCTCCAGTGCAGATGCTCAAAGTTTTCACTAATCCTGAATCACTGAAACATTTGCATGATTGTTTCCCAAGACACAATACCTACAATTAATTTATTACCTTTAATTTTGTAATTCCACATTTAAGATAAATTAAATTTTGAATTCCTTGGAACTGCTCACATAAAACAAAGCTTAGGAGCACAATTATTTAAATACCAAGACTATAGCTATGTGATACTAAGAAAAAAACCGCTCAGGTACCACAAGGAGCTGACATCTTGAGTACAAATGCTCTGATTGCTGAAAGTACAGGGTGAAAATGAAGATAAAAGGAAGAACGGTGACATTGCTTGATGCTTCTGCTTTCACAATGGTAACTTCCAATCAATGAAGATCAATATGGCAATTTACAGGACTTCAGCTTCTAATTTCTGCTCGATAATTCTTTTGTTTTCAAAGTTAACGTATATAAAAGCAGAACAGAGCTTAAAATTGTAAGTACTAAATTTCAGCATCATGCTAGTTATTAAGAAGTGTTATAATAGCTTTGAACACCTACAAGGTACAAGGGATATGCCATGGGTTCTCTAGTGCATTTACAGTTGTATAAGGTCAAAGTTGTGTTATTTATAACTGAGAAAGAGGCTAAGTGTGGTGGCACACACCTTTGACCCTAGCACTGGAGAGACAGAGGCAAGTGGATCTCTGTGAGCTCAAGGCCAGTCTGATCTACACAGTGAGTTCCAGAACAGCTAGAGCTACATAATAGAGATACCTTCTCAAAAAATGAACAAATGAAACAAAACAAAAAACCCAAACTAACAAGAGAAGAGAGGCGGGCTTCCAAAGCCAGTCTTCTTAGTGCTGGATTGGTATTAGCTCTTCCACTCACAAATATGTAACCTTGAGCAAGTTACCTAGTTTCCCAGGATGTCAGCTTTCTAGTCTGTAAAATGGAGATAAAGCCAGGCTTCTGAAGACTACAGGAAAAGATCCTTTGAAAGCACTTGGTATCAAGCTTAAATGCTGTAAGTGACTTGCAGCAGACTGAGCAATTCAGTTGACTCCTTATCAAATGACATTTGCTACCAAATGAAAGAGGATGGAGAGCCATGCAGTCCCTGGCATTTCTACCCATCAAAAGCCCCAATATTTTCTAGAAAGAGTCAGGTGTTCTCCACAGCTGTTTTAGGTCTCCTAATTACTAGTTTGAAGGAGTCACCAATGAAAGCAAAATGGAAAGTTCGGAGAGTAAGAAAGTGTGTCTGCTATTCAAATGTTGGCAAGGTTTTTAAAGTAGTCCTTATACAAAGAACATTGTTTGTGAACAATACAATAGGAATCCAGATACTTTTTCCTGTCAGGAAAGAAACGATGACCTTGTTTCTAAATATTGCACCCTCCATACCCACTCCCAAACTATAAAGAAAATGACCCATACAACTCATACACATTTAATATATTGTTACAGTATGCTAGTGTGTCCTATACAAAATCAGTACTTCAAGTACTTCAGTACCTATCTATACCTTAAATGATACATATTTTAATAAGGTTTGAATAAAGAGGCTGCAATTCTCCAGGCAGTTCCTGAGTGCTTACTACCTGTTAGGCACTCTACTAGGCATCAGGGTAAAAAAGAAAAAAAAAAAAAAACCAGTAATTTCATAGAATACAGGAAAAAATGACAAGCATTTATCAAAATGCCTATATTAAAAGCTGCCCATACCAATCAGAACAAATGCAGCTTAGAAAATGACTGGACAGGGGGCTCAGCAGTGAAAGCACTGACTCTTACAGAGGACCTGGGTTCAATTCCCAGCACCCACATGGAAGCTCAAGGTCAGGTGATCGTATGCCCTCTTTTGGCTTCTGTGAGCACCAGGCTCAAATATGTATATACGTAGAAATATATCTTTTTTTCTTTAAGGAAAAAAATGATGCCCAATTCTTACCATTTCATCTCTTCAAAGATGCATGAAGAACAAAAAGTCGGGCTCTTCACTATCCAAACGAGGGGCATCCCTGGAGGTGCTGGGCTAATGAGGTCTCTTTACCAGAAGATTCTTTTCCCAGTATATTTACCCAGGACATGATTCATTAAAGGTGTCACAATGCATAATAAAACAGAAGCAGAAGTTCATCTGCCCACCTTTTATATATAGTGTATTGTAAAAAAGAGTCTGAGACTGCCAGAACATCCTAAAACTGTTAAATGTGTTGCTCTGATTGGTTAAGAAAACTTCAGCTACAAATGGCGCCCAACGGGTTGGCAAGAGTTTCCACCTAAAACCTGAGAAAGAAGATTCCAAAACGGAGCTAAAAACAGCTTCCTAGTTGTCTCTCTCAAGTTAGCGGCAGCCTGCGGGTTTGAGCTACTCTATGGCGGGTTCCTGGCATGCAAGCTTGACTGGCAGTATGGAGGGAATGAGGTGTCTACAAGCGGCACATTGTGCTGCGTGGTGGATTTAGTCTTTGCTAGCTGGTGGTAAATGTACCACCACCATGTTGGGAAGCTGAAGTGGGCAGAGCCACTAGCCAAAGCTGCTATTTTAGCCCTAGAAATGCTTCAGTTTAAAACAATAGATTCACACTAAGACAGATTCAGATGGAACAAAACTTTAAATGCTTTACAATGTGTGTAAAAATGTATGTAGGCTTGGAAGAGAGAAAAAGGAATATATACAGTTATATAAAGAAATAGATAGTTTTTAAAAATAAAGTCTTTAAAGAGACAGTAAAGGTAGTATAAAAATAAGCCACATAAAGATGGATATTACACAGAGAATCTGGATTGTGTTGTCTTTGGGATTTTTAACTGCAGAAAAACATTTGATCATAAAAGCTGTTGAGTTAAGCCAATATGTATATTTTAAAGGTACCTTGACTTCAAAATTTAGATCTCAGGATATGTTTCTTTGGAAAGGAGGCTCTGCTTTTGTTTCCACAGAAAGCCAGAGGCTATGGATTTGTTCCAGATTAAGATACATCAGGTTTGACCAGCCAAGACCCCCTGAAAGGTCTCCGATGACACCGTGGCCCAGATGATCCAACATCCAGAACAGTTTCAAGGCAACTGGCTCAGACAATACAGCCTCACAGACTACTCCATAATGCTAAAAATTTCTTTCTGTCCCCATAAGGCACAGCGCCCCCCTCCAGCAGGAAGTAGTAAAAGAAGCTACGCCCAAATTCCCAAATATACCAAGCTGGCTTTGGAGATGGAATTGGCTCACTCCTTCTCTAAACCCAAATATATTGCTTAAAAAAAAAAGGATGAGAAATTCTTTTGTCCCATATCAGAAGAGCCCTCTGGTATGGGACAGAGAAAAACCAATATTTTTATTTAAATCAGATTGATTATAAATGTGATCTCTTTCTAAAGAAGAAAAGGGGATATGATGTAGATATGATAGGATGAAAGGATAGATTATTGAATCTACTTTTAAAAAGCAACTTGTTTAAAATGTTTTACATTGCTATGGATTTTAGTTTATTGATACAAGTTTAAACTTAATTTTATTATACTGTATATATATTTCTATTCTCGTTTGAGGTAATATGTTTATGTAACTCATTTAGATTGTAATGGATAATTAAGAAATACAGATTAATAATTAGTCATATATGATAGTCAAACTAATAGTCATGTTGTTTTCTAGGTATACATAGATATAATTCAATTAGATAGGTAATCTTCAAACACTTCAAAGACCTACAGAATACGGCATTTAAAATGTTTTAAAAATTTACACTTTCTGGACAATGAGACATGTCTGCTCCTGGCAGCACTGATTTACTTCAGAGAAGGAGGATGGGCATCAAAGACACTGCATATGGAATTTATCTTCACTTTGGCAAAAATAGCCATTTGGGCAAGAAACTGTTCTTGCCTGGACTGCTTGATCAACTGGACATGCAGGACCCATAGGAAGGTAACCACTGAACTTTGCTTGGTGAAATGGTCCTTAAGGTTCCTGCTTCGCAGAGAAAACTGCCAGACATTCTACAGGACACAGAGGAAAGTGACTGAGAGACGCTAGGCCTGTGGGCTGAAGACAGATGCCCCAACTTTACAAAGGAACTTTGGATGACTGTCCAGGCTGCCAGCTGTCTCGGTCTACTCTCGCAAGACTCCCGAAAGTTGCTTGCGTCCATCTCCCATTTCTCAGGTAATATTTTATCCTTCTAAGGTCTTTGATGTAGCTGAACACTAGATAGTTATAATTTTCCTTAGTTTTGATAAAAGATAAGTTAGATATGAAACCTTAGACTCACAAATATAGGATAGATAGAATATCTTCTTTAATTCTGCCAAATAAAAATAGACTAGATATTATAAATAGACTAGATATTGTAACTGTAATTCTTGCTTGATAATTGTTTTATTATATGTAATTTTACTATGTGAAAGTTAAAACCTTCCTTTTTGGGAAAAAAAAGGGGGAAGTGCTGTGGATATCACTCTGTATAAATAAAATGCTGATTAGCCAGTAACCAGGCAGGAAGTATAGGCAGGACAAGCAGAGAAGAGAATTCTGGGAACAGGAAGGCTGAGTCAGAGAGACGCTGCCAGCCGCCATGATGAGAAGCAACATGTTAAGGTACCAGTAAGCCACGAGCCATGTGGCAACTTATAGATTAATAGAAATGGGTTGATTTAAGATATAAGAACAGTTAGCAAGAAGCCTGCCACGGCCATACAGTTTGTAAGCAATACAAGTCTCTGTGTTTACTTGGTTAGGTCTGAGCAGCTACTGGACTGGCGGGTGAGAGAGATTTGTCCTGACCGTGGGCCAGGCAGGAAAACTCTAGCTACATAAAACCCAAGAGCCTACACAAGCATTTTTATTTTGGGGAAAACCACTAGTCCCAATACGTTTTAATAAATGTGGAAACTAGTAAGTTAAGTATATTTATCTGTGTGAATTACAGGTTTGGTAACAGAGATTCTCTGTTACCAACTTCAAAGGATTCAAGTTATTTGAGGAACAAGCAAATCAGATTTGCTGAATTAGGAATGTGTTGACTTTTTTTTTTAATTCCACTAAAATTTGCAGGGCCTTTTCTTGTTCCTCTAGCAAGACTCTCTCCCTTCTGTCTTCACCAAAGTGTCTGGGCTCCGCTCTCTATGAGGGTCTCAGGCCTTTCTTTCACTGTGGTCTCTCTATCATGAATACCTAAGTATCTAGTAGAGGAAGAATGGTGAGTAAACTGAACTCACAGCTTAGTAGCCAGAACTGCTGACAATCAAATAGAAACTTAGAAATCATAAGGAAAATTACAACAGTAGAGGCCTAAAGATAATTATCTTTTTGAAGACTTAACCTGTATACAAACTCATTCTCTGAAATGCATTGCTTACTACTGTTCAAAGCCTTTGCTTACTTTTCTTTTCTTTTTTTTTTTTTTTTTGTTTTGTTTTGTTTTGTTTTTCGAGACAGGGTTTCTCTGTGTAGTTCTGGTGCCTGTCCTGGAACTCACTCTGTAGACCAAGCTAACCTTGAACTCACAGAGATCCGCCTACCTCTGCCTCCTGAGTGCTAGGATTAAAGGTGTGCGCCACCACTGCCCGGCTGACCTTGTATTTTTAGGTGGTTTTGCTGAAGTGCTTTACTTAACATCGGTCCTTGCTCTTGAACTCTGAGCGGCTCCCCCCAGACTATAGAAATAAATAAACACTTCTATCACTCACAGATCTCTCCAGGCTGCCCTGCTTCAACTCCGCCACTTCTGTATATTCAGTTCCTTCCCGCAAGAATTCTAGATCCCACGCCAAGACTACACCTCAGGAGCTTCTAGTGTGTTCCAGCTTTCTGGTCCTGTCTCTGTTCATACAGGTCACCCCATCTCAAATATCCACACCCCCATACCCTAGCTAAAACTCTACCAGCCAATCAAGTATATCCTGAAATTTCATTTCTTTAAGAAAATCTGCCCTGATCTTCCCTCTACATACATGGGAAATCATCCCTACCACTAAATCAGAGAACTTCATAGCCAGGGTCAACAGCACATGCTCTGAAATCACAGGAGCAATGAGATCAATACTTCAGTGTTCCAGGGATGGAAAGTGTGGCTCCGAATAAGGTCGGCACTTGAACGTGGAACTTACTTCCTCAAACTCTAATATGTAAACTGATCCCCATGCCAGTCGGAGTTGAACTCTTAAATGGTCCAGGTGTGTTAGTACAAGATGGACAGGATAGCACAAATGTTTCTTCCCTCTTTCCTCGACAAAGCTCAGGTATTCAGCCTGCAGAGAGCAAGGCACTCTGCCTTTCCATTTTTCCTTTGCACCTTGATCCAGCAACTTTTCTGGGTTTGTATTGCTTCTGAAGAAACAAACTGTTAAACAAAACTTGCATTCCCTTTTCTTCCTCACAGTAGTAAGGGACTGCAGATGTGCAGTTTTAGGTTATTTTTCAGTAGTGTGTGTTAGAAGACCTGTGCATGACTGTGGGTCCCTGGTTTTCCCTTCTGGTAAGTGCGCACACTCTCGAGTACACAACACACACACACACACACACACACACACACACACACACACACACACAAATTCTCCTATAAAAAGTGAGGCCATAGGCCATAGGCCAGATATGGTAGAGCACACCTTTAATCCCAGCACTCAGAAGGCACAGGCAGGTGGATTCCTGTGAATTCCAAGACAGCCAGGGCTACATAATGAGACCCTGGAGAGGGGAGAGGAAAAAAGAGAAGAGAAGGGGTTTGGGGAAGAGAGGAAGGGAGGGAAGGGAGGAGAGGAAGAAAATAAATCTTATGAGAGTACCAATAATCCAAATGCCTTTCCAGAGGAACTACTTGTCCCTAACCTTCTTTGCCAGAAATGCAGAATTGTTGCACTCCTAAGGCCATTCAATTGTAAGTGTTATCATCAATAGCTGAGAGCAAAGACTGATGAAAAAGAACCTGGAGACTGACTCTTTGAACACCCACCCCTGCACACCCTAACCGCTACATGAAGGACTTTATGAGCAGAAAGGGGAACTGAAAGCTTGAGGAAAAATCTGCCTTTCAATGAGTTCCAAAACTTCTTGCCTCTCTCCAGAGAACAAGCCTTCCTCACAAAACATGAGCATTTTCCAAATGGCTTCTGTGACACTGGCAGCAGAGCAGCAATCATAAATGTGCCAGATTCCGACACAAGTGTTTCTTGGAGAGAACCAGATACCTTGGATTCCACTGAAAGTAAGTTCTTGTGATTCAAATACATCCTGAAGAAAGCGAAAGATGAAGCGCCCACAGAATGAACTTTTATCCTTGGGGTGTGGTGCTGTTGGTTTTTATTTTTTTTATTTTATTTATTTATTTATTTGGTTTTGAGACAGGGTTTCTCTGTGTAGCACTGGTTGTCCTGGATCTCACTCTGTAGACCAGGCTGGCCTCGAACTCAAAGATCTGCCTGCCTCTGCTTCCAAGTGCTAAGATTAAAGATGTGTGCCACCACTGCCCAGCAGTGTTTTTTATTTTTGTTTTTCTTTTTATCAATAGTTTATCTGCTAAGCGACTTGTATCTAAAATATGTAACAATTATAAAATGGCAGAGGTGCAAGTACACCTGCGTCCACACACATACACAAATATACACACACACACGCACACACACACACACACACACACACACACACAATTTAAAATCAAAGTACACCTGCCTCCACACACATACACAAACACACACATACAATTTAAAATTAAAATACACCTGCACTCCACACACATACACAAACACACACACACAATTTAAAAAATTAAAAAAATATAAACAGAGTCTGTAACCATTAGGACATCTATACTTAAAGAAAAAAAAAAAAAGATAACCACTCACAAAAGAATTCCATGCATGGGGGTAGGAATATAAAATCTTACAGCCACTTTGGGAAATAATATGAAAGTTACTCAAAAGGCTAAACAAAATTACCACGACCCAGCAATTCTGCTTCCAGGTGTGTAACAAAAGAATTTAAAGCAGAGACTCAAACAGGCATTTAAAACCCAATGTTTACTATCAGCATTATTTGTAATAGCCAAGATATGGGAACAACCAAGCTGTCCTTAATGGTTAATAAGCAGCTAAACAAATTATATTCTCTCCATACAGTTCACAACACATAGCTGAACCTCCAAATGCTAGCGCTGGGGAGATAGCTCATGGGAAAGGCACCTGCTTGCAAAGCCTGACAGCATAGTTAGTTCCCCTCGATCCCTGCCTGGTGAAAGCAGACACCAGCTCTTGCTACTTGCCCTGTCATCTCCGACATGTGTCATGGCAAGTACTCTTGTACAAACACACACACACACACACACACACACACACACACACACACACACACACACACATACACAAGTACTTTTCTAAGTTTAAATTAGAAAAAATAAATATAACATTATACCTAGTGAAAAACACCAGACACTAAAAGTTACTGTTTTGTTCTGGGTATGAACCCTCAGAGTCTTAAGTGCTAAAGACTTGGCTTCCGGTGCCTCAGAGCTCACGGACCCACTCGTCACTTCATAGCTGCCTGGACAGGATGGAGACTATAACTGGTGTGAGTGGCTCCTGAGGAGGGTAGCATTCTGGGAACATTCACCTGTCTCTGTCACACTTCCTGGATTCTGTATCATAAATACAACTTTGCTCTACAATGCTATCCAGCCAACATAGTGTTCTGTATCAGCACAGGCCCCTAAACAGTGGACCCATAACGCCATGGAATTAAAACCGTCTCCAAAATCATGAACCAAAATAAATCTTTCCTCCATTGAAGTTATTTTTCTGAGTATCTGTCACAGCGACAGAATGCTAACATAATCATAATCATTATTATTATAAGATTCCATTTGCTCATATGTGAATTATTCAGAACAAACCAATCCCTGGAGACAGAAGGAGAGCCAGTGGCTTCCCGGGGCCTGAAGAAGGGACATGAGGAGTCACAGTTAACATGGAGGATGTCTCCTTTGGAGAGGCTCACAGTGTTGTGGAACTAAAGACAGTGGATGGCTGCACAAGAATGTGATTAGACTAAAAAGCAAAACAAAACATGAACTATGCATTTTAAATGGGCAATTCAATAGTTTGAACTGCACCCCACAAGATTTTTTTGTTTTTTGTTTTTTTAGCCAACATTTAAATTTGGAAAATTTCACAAAAAAAATATGATTGAAATGGTTCTGCAGAATCGTCACAACAGCTAAGGCCTGGAGGGAGTGCCTGTCCTGGAGCTCATCTCTGACACTGCCTGCCTCAGGGGCAGGAAGGGACACAGTGTCTACACCAGTGCTTCTCAACCTTCCTAATGCTGCTGCTGCTGCGACCCTTTAATACAGTTCTTCATGTTGAGGTGACCCTAACCATAACATTATTCTGTTGCTACTTCATAGCTGTAATTGTGTTACTGTTATGAATCATAATGTAATATCTGTGTTTTCCAATGGTCTTAGGTGACCCTGTGATAGGTTTGTTCGACCCCCAGAGGGATCTCGACCCCCAGGTTGAGAAGCAATGGTCTACAGCAGCTGATTGCTGTCTGGAGCCTGTTACATGAACAGGCTTACAAAGGGCCGGAATCCCTTCCTGCTTAGAGATTAAGAGGCTTCTGCTCTTCAATAGGCACTACATAGAGTTTCACAGCCAACAGTAACTCAATTCCAAGGGATCTTACGCCCTCTTCTGGCCTGCATAGGTACTACATGCACATGGTACACAGACATACATGCAGGTAAAACACCCATACACACAAAATAGTAAAATAATTTTTAAAAAGGCTTAGAAAAGTGCTGAAACATAGTGCTTAGTAAATGTTGGACATTTTTATATTTTATTATTTTTATGATTTTTTTACGATACCTCGTACTGTTTTTTGTTTGTTTGTTTTTGTTTTTCAAACAGGTCCTCATGAAGCACAGGGCAGCCTCAAACTCACCATGCTGTCAAAGATGCCCTTGCATTTCTGATATCACTGCTTCCACTTCACACATGCTGGGATTACAGGCATCGGCCATCATGACCCAGCTCCTTGTCCTCTTTCTAACAGAGGTCTGGAACATTTACTTTTCAACTTTCTGTTGTTGATTTTACAAATAAAAGTGCAGCATGTGATACTGAAGTCCAACAGAAAGAAGTGAAAAGATAACCAAGACAAGAATTTTAACGCAATGTGCAGAATATCCCCTGCCCACACAGGTGAGAGCGAATGAGGACACGCCTGCACAGAAAGCAGTGGAGATGTCTCTAGGCATGGAGGCGGTCGGTCGGTCGGGGAGGCAAGCCTCAGCTCTGCACTTAGTAAGACGGCCTGTGTAGACAACAGTCCAGGTGACTCTAGACTTAGGAAACAGGGTAACAAACTTACACTTAAAGGGACTTCATATAGTATTTATATTTAAACAATAAACATTTATAATCAGACTCTTCCAAAAGCTACTTTATAAAAGGAGAAACTAAATTTGAGGCTTTGGGGATGATCACAAAGCTCTGCCGAGGGAACAGCAATAGCATGGTTTCATAACATGAGAAGCCTTTTTCTGCCCTGAAACACAGCTTTTAACTTGTACTGTTCCCAAAGACCATTTTTTCTTCAGTTTCTCATCCCTTGTGCCGCAATGCTTTCCAGCGGCGGAACTGGCTGAAGGCCGCAGCCCAGCGGTCAGTGTCCTTCACTACTCAACTCAGCCTTTCCCACCTCCTTACCCCATTCCCTTTTACAAACTCTATTCAGTGGGGCCAACTATATCCAGGATATAAACTATTCATCCATGAAAGATTTTGTAAATACCATTGTCTTTTTATTTCTTTATACATTTTTAGTTTTTTTCCTGTGTCTTTATGTGTATGTGTGGTGTACACAGGTCTGTGGCCTTGAAGGCCACAGGCTGATGTTAGGTGTCTTATTCCATCACTGTCCACTCTGGTGTTTTCAGATATGGTTTCTCACTAATCATGGACTCACCATTCAGCTAAGACTTCCTAGTCAGCAAAGCCTGGAATCTGCCTGTCTATATACCCCAGCACTAGAGCGTAGGCACACAGTGCTTTACCTGGCTTTCTGCATGTTTGCTGGGGATCCTAACTGAGGTCCTTGCTTTACAACTGGCCCACCTCCCCAATCCTACTATCATCTTTTATTCATTCATTCATTCATTCATTCATTCATTCATTCATTCATTCCTTTATTTATTTATTTAGGATTGTGGTAAAACTCACCATTTTAACCATTTTAAAATGTACAATTTAGGGGCTGGAGAGATGTCTCAGCAGTCAAGAGCACTGACTGCTCTTCCAGAGGACTCAGGTTCTATTCCCCGCACCCATGTGGCAGCTCAAAACTGTAACTCCAGGATCCAACACCCTCACACAGACATACATACAGGCAAAACACCAATAAAATAAAAATAAATAAAAATTTAAAAGTATAATTTAAGGCATTTTATGATATCACAGTGTGGTGCAACCCACATCATGATGTTCCACAATATTTAGCAGCCACAAGGAAACCCCGAGCCCATTAAGACATTCCAAGCTCCCTGCCCTGTCTCTGCGATGTGCCTATTAAGATATCTCATGTAAGAATATACAGTGTTTAGTTCTGGCTTTCTTCATCTAGCACAACTTTTCAAGCTATCAGTGTTGGAGTATGTGTCAGTATTTTGTCCCTCTTGGGACTAAATAATACAGTAGTTCCCTCTGGTCCATAGTTTCACTTTCTATGGATTCAATTACTAGTGGACAACCTCTGTCTGCAAATAAATAAACAAACAAACAAACAAACAAATAAATAAATAAATATAAAATAAATGGAAATAAACAACTTACAAGTTTTAAATTGTGTACTATTCTGAGGGATGTGGTGAAATGCCCACTCATCCCTCAACAGCATGCCCAGGGTGAGAATCACCCCTTCATTCAATGGATCCACATTGTATATACTATTTGCCTGCTAGTTCTACAACTGAGGTATCGAGCTATTGTGCACAGCAGAATTTCACAACATAATTTAGTCTGACTCCAATAATTTTCTTTTCTTAGATAAGTCATTACTGTTTTACAAATCACTGAGGAATGCCTTATGGCCTAGATTTTATCCCTTATCATTTTTGGAGGTTTAGCAACCCCGCTGTCCTTTGCCTAAGCCACTACAGTAGCCTCTGTATAACCAGAGTCACTGTTTTTACCTTGCCGTTTGTAGCCTATCTTACTAGACTGCAGTAGCCCCAGTGATTCTATTGACAGAGAACTGATATCTGTCCTGTACTTCTCTTGGAATAACAGCTGAAGCCCATCTAAGGGCATGACTCTTCTGTTACCTGCCTGCCTTCCTGCACTCCCACTCTCTCCCAAGCACTCACTCACTCGGAGCTGCCTCTTCTGTCGTCCTACACTGTCTATGCATCTTCTGCCTTCATTCTTCATTAGCTGCATCATCCCCTCAGAGAGCTCACCAGCTTACCCTTTCAGCATTAATGGCAAGTGTCACTGCAGCTGAAGTCAGGCCCCACCTCTTACAATGCCCAACAGCCTCCTAATCCTGCCGTACTCTTTATTCTTTCTAAATAGCCATCATTTAACACAAGAAATACTGTATTTACTTATGTTTGCTGTTTGCTATCATTTCCCTTCCACTGAAAGGTATAGTATGGCCATTATAGAAACAAGATAAGAGGGTCCTCAAAAACATTTAGAAACAAAATTACCACATTCCTCAGCAAGATTAAAACCCAGCAAGGAAACACCAAAGCTTGCACTCCCTGTCCAGCATCTGGGGTGATGGAACCAGGTGGGTAGCCCTCCCCTGCAGCTACATCCTGGAGTCTCCACTGAAATGTGGTCTTTATCTTCAAAGCTTCATGCAGTAGACTCCCAGGGTCTTCTTGCAAGAGATTCCATTGGGCCACGTATTGCCAGCTCTCAGCATCTCTCAGAAATTATGGTACTGGGACTCCATGACCCTCTCAAATCTTGTCTCTTCCATGAGTGCATAACCAGTACCACATGAATGACACTGCAAAGTTCTGCTGCCAGTTTAGGACAGAGCCTGGCCACACTGAACCAGAATTGCATCAGCCTTCATGTGCTAACCCTGGGAAGACACTTCCCCTGAGGGTTGTTTTCAAATAAAAAACCCTTTCTACAGCATTCTCAGTCGGGAGGTCTCCTTCAAATGAATTTGCATTTTCACAAGATGGATCCTTCATTGAATAGTCCTGCCCTCAAGGCACCTTTCCTATTATTACAGTGCAGCATTGTTTTTAATCGTACTAATCTCTTTAATGACTACAACTCTTTTCAAACTGCCTGGTCCATTCACTGTAAACTGGCCCCCACTGTTTTTCTTGCCAAACTGCAGAGTTTTCATCATTCTGTTCCACCTGTTGCTCTCCCTCATTGTAAATCTAGACTGAGTACTGAGCACAGTCTGAATGTTATTCTATCTTGAAATTTCCTCTGTCAAACAAATTATTCCATTATTTTTCAAGTCAGCCTCATACAAGTGTTTAGAACACAAGCATAATGAAGTCAGATTCTTTGCCATAATATAAAATGAACGTCTCTCACTCAGATCCATCCGGGGTCCTCATTCCTTTCTGAAACCTCACAAACCGTGCTGCCACTGTCTGCATTCTGGTATTCCAAGCTCCCACCAAAGTGGCCCATTGATCTCTGCCACATCGTTTTAGGAATGATGAAAGGACGGGCTTTTGTTTTGTTTTGTCTCCCAGCTTCTAGTTTCAGGGGTAAAGAAGCAGAGAGAGATGAATCTCTGCAGCGAGCTTCTTTGCTCCTTTAGGCTCAGTCTAGGACCCAGCCCTCGGGATGATGCTGCATACACTGTGGATGGGTCTTCACACTCATTTAACCCAGATACAGAGTCTCCCTCACAGCCATGCCCAGAGGTTTATCTACTCATTGATTCTGGATCCTGTCAAAATGGGAATGTTAACCACCACATATGTAGTGAATTAACACGGGGATAGAAGGGAGTAAGTCACAGTAAATATCTCACTTATTTCTGGAACCTAAAGAATGCTGAACTCAACAAACGATGGTGATTTTCAGACACTTGAAGTTAGGAGTAATGTAGATTACAGAATACAAAATCTTGGCTAAATGAGAATAAGTTCAAGAAAATGATTCTATAATGTAAGGATTATAATTGATATATACCTGAAATGTATTTACTCATTTCATTGTATGTAATTCAAAGCAATATACAGTGTATAAAAATACATGTAACTTTTATTTATTGGTTAAAATGTGAATTCAATTTAGAGGCCCTTGTATTCTTTTGGATTATCAAGTCATCTCTAGTGCCTGACAGAGAGCACAGCACATCAACTGCCCCCTCTGTAAATACTGCCCGAGAGAAAGGGACTGGGGTTATTACACTTCAGACTGGCTTTGGACTTGACAGTCCTCACAGTTCCACTGGCCCACGTGGCTCTGTTTTCTGTTTGCTCAGTACACTTCTGAGTGTGTGACTCTTCTTTCCTGTCGCTCGTTAGTGATTTCCTGGTACAGTGTCATATAATGCTTCCATCAGTACAGCATTCCAGAGTGTAGTCCATGGATATTAGTTGCTACCCTCCTCTTCATTCTCAAAAGATAATCTCTCTGACACAGTAGAATTGGGAAACATCTCTGCATTAGGAGCTTCTTTGGCATTTTTTCAAATGTTTTTTTCATCTCTGACCCCACTACTGCCAAGTAGCCGGCCACCATACAGGAAAAACCCTGTCCCCCGCCCCCTCCCCCTTTTTTTAGTATCTGCCCAATATTTCACAGTGAATATCATACATTGTGATAGCTCTGATGATGCTCACTGAATGATTCTACTCATGTCTGCTCCTTCAACATAGAGCTAGCATATTAAAGGGTGTATTGTATAAAGCATGAGTTTCACGACTGACAAGATCCTTGTTCTTTTAAATACAGAACTGCAGCATTCCTGAAGCTCACACTAGTTTGGTAATAGTGAAAGTGTTATCTTCGCAGATGAATGTGCATGTTGTATAAAATGTTCCCCATTTTTGCTACAGTTGCTACAGTTGCTTAGGACCTAATTAAAGTGTGCATGGGTCCAGCCACCCAGCAACTCAGCCACCCAGCCACCCAGCCACCCAGCCAGGCAAAGAGTAAGATTGACAGTAAGATTACAGAAGTAAGAAAAGGAAAACGTTCAGAGGCAAAAGTTAGATGGGATAATTTAAAGTTAAGAAAAGCTTGCTAGCAACAAGCCAAGCTAAGGCCAGGCATTTATAATTAAGAATAATTCTCTGTGTGTGATTTATTTGGGAGCTGGGTGGTGGGCCCCCCAAAAGAGTAAAACAAAAAAAAAAAAAAACAGCACCTTCCTGTTTGAATTCTGTTCAGTTTTGTTCTCCAATGACTCATCTTAAACTGACTTTTAACTTGTAACCCCCTCCTCCCCAGGCCATTTCCTTCAAGGGTAGATGGAAAGGTGGTATTTTATCACTAATCTAAATTCTTCCAGGGGTCCCAGAGAGATCAATCACCAAGTAGGTATTTGCCACAAAGTCTGATGCCCTGCGTTAGATTCCTAGACCCACAAGATAGAAGAGAAATCCTGCAGGCTGTCCTCTCACCTCCATGTCCATCCATGTGTACACACACACACAAGACAGACAGATGGACACGCAAAGAGACATACCATAAATAAATATAATAAAAAATTTACCCACTACAAGCTCTTCCAGGAATTCTTACCTTTTTTCAGATTCTGTGAAACTTAGCCATCTTTTCCTTAAATACATTTGCACAATGTAGTACAAAGCTATTCTAACTGTGACTACTATTACTGCAAGCCTACAGGACTGCTTAAGAATTCCAGAGTTCCCTGTCAGCCTGGAAAGGCACCAGGCACTCCAAGTGTGTCTAACTCTTCTATCTTTACCAGTTTTGCTCAGGATTTTCCCTATCTCAGCAGCTCGTCTACACTGTGTGATGAGAGAGAGAGAGAGAGAGAGAGAGAGAGAGAGAGAGAGAGAGAGAGAGAGAGAGAGAGAATATGAACTGGAGGAGCTGGATATTGGGGAAAAAACACAAGAGCATACTGGACAACATCCTATGGAAAGAGTGGGCATTGTTTAGGAGAGAGCTGGGAATCCTGTCTCTAAGAATTCCTGAAATAGGCTGGGCGTTGGTGGCACATGCCTTTAATCCCAGCACTAGGGAGGCAAAGGCAGGAGGATCCCCAGGTTCAAGGCCAGCCTGGTCTACAGAGTGAGTTTCAGGACAACCAGGGATACACAGAGAAACCCTGTCTTGAAAAACAAAAACAAAAAAATGAATGAAAGAAAGAAAGAAAGGAAGGAAGGAAGAAAGAAAGAAAGAAAGAAAGAAAGAAAGAAAGAAAGAAAGAAAGAAAGAAAATTCCTGAAACAAGCAGGGCATGGTGGTGGTGGTGCATGCCTATAATTCCAGCAGGAGGTAGGCAGAGACAGCCAGATCTCTGTGGGTTCCAGGACAGCCAGAGAAACATTGAAAGACTTTGTTCAAAACAAAAAACCAAACAAATTCCTCAAGCTTTAACAAATGTACAGGGAGGCCCTGTTCAGTAGTTTTTGAGCTCAGAGGCAAACACCCAGCAGAAGTGTACTCCTTCTAGTCATTGTCACTAAACACTAAGAAGTTCATGTCTTTAAAGTTACACTTAAAGTGAAAGACCCCTCACAGACACTTCAGTCATAAGAATCAGCACCCCTGTGCCACTCAGATTCTATCAGAACTGGAGGTAATGTACTCGGCTATGCCATGTCAGAAGAGTCAGTTACCTTTGCTTTGGAGCGTAGGCCAAAAATCCTAATCGATTTACCAGTGAATCTTCATCTGCTGGGATTGTGGAAGTACTTCCTTCTTAATTCTGTTTAAAAAAAATTAAAAATATATAAGGAATGAAATAGTAGACACAAAGCTAATCAGAAATCAATAAATCTTTTTTTTTTTTTTTTTTTTGTTCTTGTAATATTTTTTTCTCTTTTTTTTTCCGGAGCTAGGGACTGAACCCAGGGCCTTAGCAAGCACTCTACCACTGAGCTAAATCCCCAACACCTCCCCCCACCTTCTTTTTAAGACAGAGTTTCTCTGTGTGTAGTCCTGGCTGTGCTGGAACTCACATTGTAGACCAGGCTAGCCTCGAACTCACAGAGATGCACTTGCCTCTGCTTCCTAAGTGCTGAGATTAAAGGTGTGCACAACCACTGCCCAGAAGAAATCTATAACCTTATTAGTTGCCACGAGTTCTAGTTTTGAAGTATTAAACTGCTAAAATTCAAGGCACCTTATCAATTCATCAAAAAATGCAATTCATTTTTATTATGAACTTAATTCACTATATTTACAGTAAACTAGGAAGAAATGACTATTCAATATGTCCACAGAGACAACCTCTTTGGGCTTAAAAATCATTGTGTGAAATTTCCACTAATGAGTTTCCACTTAATTTTTAAAATTGCTATTTGAAAGTCTGTTCTTATGAAACCTGTCAAATCATGGCTTTAAAATGACAGGAATACACACCAAATATATGGAATGCTTACTCTGCCCTTTACAATTCCACAGCATGCAAGAGCAATGAAGTTTTTAAACAAGAAAGAAAAACTCAATTAATTCACTTTCCTAAAAAGCCCAAGGGTTGGGCAATGGTGGTGCACACTTTTAATCCCAGCACTGTGGAAGGAGAGGCAGAACTCTCTGTGAGTTCTAGGCTGGCCTCGTCTACAGAGAGAGTTCTAGGACAGCCAGGGCTACACAGAGAAACCCTGTCTTGGGGAGGCACAGGCACAAGGAAATTATGCCCTCCATTATCTTCCTGTATGTATGTATTACAGGAAGAATGGAGGGGGTACTATTTAATTTGGGAGGAAGCAGTGAGGTAAGGAATCGAAGGATTGAAGATTAACAAACTAAAGTTACAAACTAAGATGGTATTCAACCTAAGAGAGCAGGAGACAGAAGGAGCAAGTACAGGCAATGACACAGCTGTGGGACACATACTGTCGAGTGTAAACACGGGCAGGCCAGGCATAGTGGCGCATGCCTTTAATCCCGGCATTCGAGAGGCAGAGGCTCAACTCTCTGTGAGTTGGAGGCCTGCCTGGTCCACAGAGTGAGTTTCAGGAAAGCCAGAGCTACACAGTGAGACACAGGCAGGTTGCTTTCTCTTGGAAAACCCACTACGAACGCACTTCCTCTTCCACAGCCTCCACTGGCCACACACAAGGGCAGTGGTGAGAATACTGTTTGATCAGCTTTGTTTCCACATGCTTCAAAACGGTAACCCACACGTTTTCACGACTTGAGATATAATACACTATCCCAGAACGCTGATCTCTAAAATGCTATGTCATACTTTGATCACTTACTCCTAATTATCTTTATAGCTTTTAAATTATTCTTGAGTTATATTCCTCTCCCCTCCCTTTAGCTTCAGTCTCACAAAATGCTACATAGGAATGTTGAAGGACCTTCTATCTTTACAGGCCAGATGGTTTTTTCCCCCAGATTTATAACTCTTTGTTAGTCTTCTATCTTTTAAAACTTTTCTGATACTGTTACCACTCTGTCTTACTTTTAGTAAAAGCTTCTACCTCCTTCAACGTCTGTCGAGTCAAAATTGTTTTCTTTGCATTGTAAGCATTTTACAGGTATGCAAAACTCTTTCCTCACAGTTATCTACGAAGGACTACAACAGACATGGTCAATACAGGTGTTAAGTTGGAAGCAGACCTTCTCTTCTCCTCTCTCCTTCAGAACAAACTAGAGTTGGGACATCCACTCTCACTAGGACCTTAAGTCACTAGGCAACGACACTTCTCAATTTTCCAGTATGATACTCCAGCTATTTCCAAAGCATCCAAGGAAGTCACCAGCTCTTAGATGTGATGAAATCTTCTCTGAGATAAGTTTGGCTTTAAAATAATTCACCATTTATTAGTCAGTATCTTTTAAAAATGTTTTGCAGGAAACCTATCTTTACAGAAAAATGGTAGTGGTATTTACTAACATAATCATTTTAAAATGTAACTTCCTGCTTAGAAAAGGGTCAGGGATCTTTAGTGGGAAAAACATTTTTACTTGTCTGAGTTCTCTCATCTGGCCCACAACAGCCCTGCTCAAAGTGCTGGCACTATGATCTCATTTACTAGAGAGGAGGCAGATGGAGACAGGTCATCATTTGCTCAGGATTGTTCAGTAGAGCAATGGCATAGAGTTGGAACTAAAATTCAGGCCTTGGGTGTTGGTTCATTTC